GAGAGAGAGAGAGAGAGAGAGAGAGAGAGAGAGAGAGAGAGAGAGAGCGAATGTTCAAACCAATTTTATATTTATGCGTTTCAATGTCAATTTTCCACGATAAGTTGCTCCATACGGAGAATTTATTCAAATTTTATTATAAACTACGAAAAAAAGAACCACCAACAAAAAGTAGGATATTTGTGTAAATGTTTCTGAATTTTGAGCGCTGTAGGTTGTTGATTCGGTTTTCAACAGCAGCAAAAGCAGCAGCCGCAATGTATTGGGCATGAAAGCGAAAAGAACTTGCTGCAAAAAAGGCAACACATTTTTCCGCCAAGGAAGTGGATTTTCATTCCGAAGTACTGATTAAATTGATTAGATAACTTTATAACAATATCTGGAGGTCTTTTAACGCGTATTCCTATAAATCCCTACATGTCATTTTTCACGCCATATTTTACAATATATCAAAACATATTCTCCTCGCCTCGTGTATAAGACTCTATTGATTTCACTGGATGTATGCAACGATTCCTCCAAAAGCCGTGATCAAAAATAAATATCACCACATTTTTGTCGGCTGATGCTCGTTCTTTTTCTTATGACACAAAACTATCAAATCGAATGGGACAGAATGTTCAAAATTGTTGTTGTTGTTTTTTTCGTTCCTTTTTGCCTTTTTTTCCTTTCGTTTACGCTCTTTTTTCCATTCTTCGTTCACTTCTTTTCGACTCATGCTCGAAATGAAAATATTATGATCTTCTTAGAGGCAATCTAATAATGCTTTATTTTGCATATTTTCTCTTCCGTTGAACGAATCCATTGTGAAGGATGGTGGCGAGATGATATGCATGTGTGAAAACGTGCGCTTTCATATAAGGCCGAATCAAGTCAATGGAATATGTGCAGCGTGCGCCGCTTTGAATTGTTCCGTGTAAACTTACCAGCAGTGAGAGATAGACATTATGTGCCGGTAACAAGGAGTAATATATTGAATAAAAATGAGCAAAATCAAAGGAATAGACAGTAATGTAGGCAAAATGTGCCCGTAGTCGATGTCAGACCAACAGAGGCACATACACACAAAACACGTATATGTGTATGAGAATGAGACCGAGACGAATAAACGAGAGTGAGATAGAATTCCTTTGAACATTTCACCTTCACACAATTTTCCAGAGCATATGGTTTAAGTTGTTTTTGCTCAGCAGTTGCTCTGTATCACGCAAATAAATGCCTTTTTATGCATTGAACTGAAGAGGATTGAAGAGAGCGAGAGAGGGGGATAAGGAGAAAAAACGAAAAATAATCGAACAGATTTTGCTGTACGCAATGGACTCATGCAGTGGATGCTACCTATTTGTATGATATTGCTGACGCTTTGGTGTCGTTGTGCGCTTATGAAATGCATATATAGGTGAGGATAGAAAACTCCATTATATTTTTCTTCATGTTTTCCATTCATCAATATGGATACATTTAAAAGAGCCATCAGCTCATCGAACATGTCGTTGCTCTTATTGCATACAATCTCTCTTCCCACATTTGAGTGTGTGTGTGTGTGCTTGGGGTGGGGGAGGGGGCTTATATGTGAATGCAAAAGCACATTTCATAGCATAGGCCCTGCATGCACAGACATAAAAATCAAATAAAGAATCGAATTATGTCTGGCATGCATACTTTTCCGTAAGCTCTTGTTTGTGTGAATGTCTATGTGTGTCACTTTTTGCTGAACGCTTTTGCCTCCACACGGAGATTCGGTTGGTTTGCTCGTTGTTGCATTTTTGAAGCGACCAATTATGAGAGACGATCGAAGAATTGTGGAAAAAAGAACTTTTCAGGGCATTCGTCTGTGGTAGAACATATTTTCATTCAATCTCATAACATCCGATCGAAATAATCAATCCCAAATGAATCGCAAATATGCAAGGAGCATTTTTCGAGCTCATCGATTCCCGTTGTCTTCCTTATCCCCTCTTTAACCGTCTCTGGTTGTGTCTTTGTCTATGCCTTTGCCTTTGCCTCTGCCGCTGACATTCGTTGTAATGTCTTTTTAGGGCGGGGGAAAATTCACCATATTATATTGTATGTGTGATATCGAAATACCGGAATTTTCAAAATACCGATGCCAAATATATTCACATTCCATCGCACATTCCACAAATAGATAAATACGCTTATGCAGTGTGGCAGCAATGACTGCTAGTGCCGTTGCTACTGCTGATGCCGTCATCGTCGATTCGGATATGAAAGGCAATCCGAAATAATTTCGTGATTATTTTACGGTGTGTAATAGAAAGGACTAAGGCAACAGAGACATTATTGTTACCATCATCATTTCGTGTATTGATGGTCGTGTTTATATGGTTCACTTGACGTTCTACTTCAACACGCTCTCTCTCTCTCTCGCTCTCTCGCTCTATCGCTCTTTCCCACTCGTTCTATGGATCTGATCCATTCTCTAATTCCAGGCGTTTGCAATGCATTGCTCATGTGCCCGCAATTCAAATCAATTGTTTCAATTCTTGAGCCATTTTAGTTGTGGCATTTAAAGCTTTGCATTGAAAACGCAAATAGGTATTCTTCATGCTCACTCTCGCTCTAATATTACAATGTCATCGATTTTGCATACCGAATCAGTCGCACATGTTCATTTTCTATCTCGATCCTTTCTTCGCCCCATTTAAATCGGCTTTATTCACGTATCACACACTCGAAATCTCGAACGTAAATGATCGCCCATTCCCAATGTTTTGTCGTATTATTATTTGCTCTATTCGTTTCATCGTATCAGTTATTAGTTTGAGCCTGTGTAGCATTCGAATTCTTTCCATAAGCATGGGAAGTCATTTGAGAGAATGAAGAACGACAAGGACAGCAAAACCAAATTAATGGTTTATTTTGCAATGCTTTTCAAACACACACACACACCTAGGGGGTAGACACGGATTCTAATATTGGTCTAATATCACTAATCTGTCTAATTTTTGGAAATATATCCCAAGTTTCATTTAGTTTTCTCTAATATTTCTAATAATCGTTTGAAAGTGCTAATATCTTCTAATATTCTCGTAAAATGTTCGCCATTTAGTTTTACATTGCCAATGCATTTCCTTATGGAGATTTTTGTTTTGTTTTTTTTTTTTTTTGTAAACAAATCTGCCTATCTTTTAGCATTGCCTCTGTACTTAGTATATGGTTCATACGAAAAATACAGAGGCAATATTAAAGGATTGGCAGATTTGTTTACAAACAACAAAAAATAAACAAAACAAAAATCTCCATAACGAAATGCATTGGCAATGTAAAACTAAATGGCGAACATTTTACGTCTCTGTACTATGCACAGTGGTAATGCGTTGAAATTGACAGACTTGTTGACAAATAACGGTATTGTTTACCGTTTTGTTTCATCAAACAAAACAAAAATCTTCATAAAAATTGCATTGGCATAGCATTTGCCATGTCAAAGTCATCAAACATTTCAGTTTCTAATATTTTCTAATATTCTCTAATTTACTGTATTAGATTCTAATTTACTAATCGTGTCTACCCCCTAGACACACACACACACACACACACAATGTCTCTATGTTAATTGTTTAAGTTTGTGAAATAAGTTGGTTACTAGTTTTCTTGGAAACGTTTTTATTTGACTCATTTTTCATTTTCAATTTGGATTGTCTCGTTCGCTTTCATTTTTCCAGGGAGAGATAGAGAGCCAGAGATGCGGCTCAATTCAAAGATGGAACATCACCACTAGATGTTGATATCAAACATGTTCGACGGCAAACTCTGAAACTTAAATGAAATAACTGGAAAAAGACAAATATTTGGACAAAAATCGTAATGTTTAAATCAACAGAACCTCATTTAGAATTCTCACTTGTATTAATATAATTGATTATAAAATTTCGTCGACAGTTTTCAAGTCGCAGTCAATACGGCATCAAACTAAATCAATAATAAATGCGAATTCAAGAAATGTTTTATCGAAACGACTTGGAAAGAAAGAAAAAAAAAGAAGGAAGATGAAAAAGAACCTCACTCAAAATAAAAATACACATTCGAAGTGGAAGCAGATCCAGCTATAAATAAATTAAACTTACCTTTGATTTTGGTGTGCAAAATAATTAAAATAAATCCAAAGTAATAGCTCTGCAGTCGATAGAACATGTTCGTATTTTGTATCGTTCAATATCGAAATCGAATCGATGTAGATGCTCTCTCGTCTGTTGTTGTACAGATGTTTACGATTTTTCTCGGTTCGCTATGTTTTCCCCCTTCTTCTGTTGGTGTCCGTACGCGTCTCGTGCGTTGCTCTCGTTCCGAATTGAAATGCAAAATTTAATTAGAAATTGTATCCTTCGTTCGGCGTTCTCTTATTCGTACACGTTCACATCGAATGTTTGTATCAATCAAGTGGGTGTGCATGTCATTCGTGAGTAAACATTTGTTCAAAATCATTATCATTTCGCATTCGGCGGTACGCGCTCGTTTGCCTTTGAGTTGAATTTTCGATTTTTGCTATTCAAAATCGGAGAAATGGCAACATTGGCCCAGAACGAACGAATGAACAGGAAAGAAATGCACGCGATAACTTAACGATCAATGCTCCAAAATGAAAATCGGTCCAATTTATTTCGATCCAAATGAATTTTCATTCGATTTAACACAATTTCTAAATTTGAATTACAGGCTGTAGTTTGTTTTTGTTCACTTATACTTGAGACGCACGCAAATTGATCAATGTCCTTTTTTTTAACCGATAAAACAAATCATTTAAATCACATGGCCATTTTCAAAATGCTACCACACTTTAACAGCCACGTTATTGTTATCTGAATAGTGTGATTGTTTGTGTTTTTTCAATTATCATAATTACACGATTAGTTTTCAATATTGAGCACTGCACTTTGCTACTGACATCACCAACATCAACCACGGGTGAGCCACGCGACCCACGCAATCGCATCAATTTCCTTTTTTTCCGCGCTGTTGCGTTCCAGAGAGAAAGTCTTCTATGTTGTTGAACGTATTTTCACTCTGTATATAATTAATATGGGTGTGCGTTGGCTGTTCAATACTTAGTTTCAGGTTGCGCACTGTTGCCGTTGCTGGTTTTGTTGTTGCTCTGCTGTCAACACGAATATCATGATTCCTACGATGAATGTGTCCGTACGGGCTGGAATGCATGCGTGAAAAAGAAATATAAAGAAAAATGAAGTTGTAATTAGTAACACAAATCGAATCGAACGAATATCGTCACTATAAATGATCTGAAAATGAAAGCACATCAATTGAAGTTTTTCCCTCTTGTTCCCTTCTCTCTATCCGCTCCGTCTCACTACTCAAACACTCAATCCATTTCAACATGCTTTAACCATTTACTCGACATTTGTTTGTGTGGCAATCAACGGAATTCACCTCATCCGATAACAGGGAAAAAATCCATTTATGAAATTAAGTGACAACAATATTTATATAACCAATGAGTTGGAATTTTTTCTGTCTTTCAATGGATCTGAAATCCATTTTGGTGGAACGGCGAGCAATTCTTCACTTAGTTTTGAATAATTGGCGGAAATTAAATTGCATCTGATTACGTTTATTACGAACAGAAATATAAATAAATTAAAATTACGGTTAATATTTGGGGATGAAGTGTGTGTGTGTGTGTGTGTCCCCTTTTGGGAAGTACGCCACTGAAACTAAATAACCTTTTCTTTCATAAGGCGTTATACCAATTTTTTTCCGCTGTTATTTGATGAAATTGCATAGCAACATGGAACAAGTGAAAACAATAAAGCACCCGAGCGAAAAATTACTCTATTTTCGTCTTAATTCCATGAAACAGAAAAAACAATACTACCGACAAAAAGCAACAAAACGAGTATCAACTCAATTTTTCATTTGTTTGTCGTTTAAATCATTCATACAATGGGATACGATACAAAGTGATACACTTTACAGTTGAACACACGCTTTTTATGCATAACTGCATTTTGTACGCGGAAAAAAAGGCAGAAATGTAAACTCTTTGAGTTAATAAGTGTATGTTAGAGCAACAAAAGAAAAACTATTTAATTATTTGATAGTCGACTCTTCAACTTTGACAGCGAGCATGAATATTTTGACGATGAAGCTTGCAAACGAGGACGTAAACGAGGAGTCAGAGTAAATGGAAGTTTTGACTTCACATTAATATTTGAAACTCTCTATTATTGGAGCACTTTTTTTGCGCTCCTCGAAATTTTCTGCTCAACTTTTCGTACTGCAAACTGAAGTTGAAAATTTAATTTAAATGGAATATTTTCGAATGGGGGAGAGAATAGGATCTTTCCTCTCTCTGGAAATACGCCAATTGTTCTGATCAGTGTAAAGTTGCTTCATAGAGTTGTTAATTGTGATGCGTAACATTGTAGATATTTGGGAAGAATTGGATTTTTAATTCACACATTTTTTTAATATCAATTTTGTGAGGAGCTAAGAATAATTTCACCCAGCATATCAGTAGTATTGATGATAAAATTTTTCAATTGATGAATTTGAAGGAATTTCGTCCAACATTTTTTTTAAGTTTTTCATTATTTACAAATAGGATTTTGAAAAAAAAAAATAGTTGAGTGTCAGAACAATTCGGTTGCAGTTGTTTCGAAAAGGAAGGAAAAAAACTGACACCCAAGCTTTGTGCACTCTTTCTTAACTATATTTTATTGTTATTTCTAATGGAAAATGATAAAACCGTCTCACATTTTTTTTTCACAGAATCTCCCAAAAAATTCGGAAAATGGACCGGAAGTTTTGGGATTTTTTGTACGATTTTATTTTTTAAAAAAATCGGACAGTTTTATCATTTTTTGGGCGATTTTTGAAACGACGTTTTCCATTTGGAATAACAAAAAAATTAACGTTAAAAAAGAGTTCATGAAAAATAAAACTGCACACAAAGCTTAGGTGTGAGGTTTTTCTTCTTCCTTTTCGAATCAACCGCAACCGAATTGGTCTGACACTCGACTATTTCTTCAAAATCCTATTTGAAATAATGAGAAACTTAAAAATTTCCCTCGCCATTCCGACTCGAAGTACACGGGGGCAATAATAATGTAATCAGTATGTTTTTGTAGGTCACATTGCAGGTGATAATTACACACAAGTTAACAAAAATCATGCAATAGCAAACAAAATAAGAATGTATTACAATATTTAGTTACGTACGAAGTGGATTTTCATAGTCCAACTCGGATAGTTGCTCATAAAAGCGGAAATTCAGCCGAGAGAATGAAGAACTGTGCAAAAATTTGCAAAATGATCGGATATACCACGAATTACAAGAAGAAAAAGTAAAGAATGGAATGTAACAAAACGAACCAGTTTGAGTTTAAAACATTCCTTATTTACGGAACACACGGAAAATTATTTTGCTGCTGATGCTATTTTCGTTTGTCCGATCCTAATTTTTCCGTTCTATTTTTAGTTCATTCTTAACGAATGCATAGTTTGCACAAATTGGTGGTCGCTAACAATCTTTCTCTTTCACTTTATATTCATCGAAACCATTTTCGATCCTCGTTTCGTGCTCATCATATTTTGTTTTTATCGTTTTGGTTTTCCTTGGTTCGTGTATTTTCGCCTGTTTTCCTTTCTTTTTATTTCAACATTCACAATTTCTCGGCACCCGTTTTCAGTTCTCAGTTTTTCACCAACTCAGTTCAGTTTCATTGGTTGCTTGAATATAACAATAATTTCAGCCGAGCATCTGAGTGTATATTTTGGAGGTTTTTACGCCACGTATGGCTTTTGTTTATTGCACATTATGGGAAATATTCAAATTAATTCATTCGAACGTTGTTGTGTTGAGCCGCACCACAACTACACATAACACAAACACACATATAAACTCGCTCACGATGCAACCGCCAGAAGAATGCATATATCCCAATGAGTGTCGATGCAATATGAAAGCGTGGAAATTGTCTCATTATTTTTGTGGGCCAAGTGCTTATTCCCTCTAGCAAGTTCTAATTTTCAAATGATTATTTCGGAGTCATTCACGCTCACATCGCATCACACCGAAGAAGTGAATAAAACCACCGAATTTTGTTTTTTTGCTGCGACTGATTTCGCAAACGTGGCCGTTTTTCGAAATGAGGAAAGAACCGTTAAATCGTTTTTTTTAAATTGCGGAATCAGTTCACGATGACACACGCGCTTCGCACTTCACACTCGACGATTCATATCAACCATCCACCACTATCAGTGTATCAGTTTGATGAGAATTGGATTTAGAATTTTTTTCAGTTAGTTTTCCGTGTTTGAAAAATTATAAGAGAGCGGAAATGTTTGATTCCGATTTTTGTTTAATTGTCGGTCGCTTGATTCGGTAACTGATTGAAGCACTCAACTGTACAAACACAATTTTCACTTTCGATTCGCTGTTTCATCAGTCGCTTTTCGGGGCGCAAAGCAAAATGTGTATGATGTTTTCGCTTGAAAGGATCGCGATAAACTGAATTCTATGAGAAGCATTTGTATACATTCATCCATCGTGGCTCATGCTTGCACCACCACATTTACAGTTCAGCAGACACAGCACACAGCGTTCAAAGAGCACACTGCTCACTGCTTACTGCTTACTGCTCACACACTGTCTCGCTCGCTCCATGTCTCGTCTGTAGCGTGTGTCTGCTGTGCTGATAATAGCACAAACTACGTCTTCATAGGCGCGCTTACAGCATACAGTTGATACACCAAGTGGCTCCTTGTATTTTTCTTTTGCTGCATTTGCTTGGTTCGCTTGTCGATTTCAGTAGGTGAATTCTGTATTATTCTTCAATTGGGTTCGAGAAGCATTCACACAAGTTTGCAGAAATGTCGGGTAGTATGGCAGAAGAAATCGAATTCATAGAAAAGTGTGAAAATTTCGAAGAATGCCAAGAATCACATGGTTTATCCATAAACTACTTTTGAAGATTGTTGGCAAGCGTAAATTGGACCAGATGATTCTGATTAATTCGTGTTGGTATTTGAAACATTATCTATCAATCAATTGGAATAGACGGGAATCTGTCATCATCGCTTGATCTGAAATTCTGTGATATCAAAATGTGTAGTTTTAAAAGGGGAACATTTTTTTTCTTCTCAAAACTCAATTAAACGCGATGATAAAATGAGTCCTTTGATGCAAATACTCCAACAACTTTTTGTTTTTGTCTACTCTGATTGCGATTGGTAAAAAACACGTCCTCTCGTTTTTCATTTGGGCTAAATTAGTATTTGGACGGAAATGGAATCTTTCGTAAACTGAAATTAAAATGCATAAAACACAGCATTTTGTCTATTGCACCAGAGCAGCTTATAAATTCATATGTAACCCATTGGATAGTATCGCACTCATGTGCCAGTGTCTGTGCGCACACATGCTATGCATTTCAACAATAAAGATTTTTCTGCGGGCAAAATTGGGTTCTTGATGAATTTACTGTTGTACCCGAAATGGTGGAAGAGCCGAAACTAGTGATTTGGAGCACACACACACACACACACACACACATTCCACTAGAGATATAAATAATGCCTAATTCATTCATATTTCGCAATCTTTGTCTGAATGAAAGGGGACATACAGCAGAGGCAGAAAAAAAGTGCGAGTATAAATCACACAACAGAGCAGCAGAATACAATTGAGAGAACGAAATGGTCGGTGAAAAAGCGTAACAATAATATTAATAAAGTAAAATAAAGTGTTGTAGAACGTTGACACACTGTGAATCACAATTTCGGTTGGTGTATATATATATGTGTGTGTGTGTGCGTATTCTCGTAAGTGTGTATGTGCGAGCTATTGGGACGAATGACTAGAATATAATGCATTACCATCAAGTCATTTGAATGTTCGTTGGTCACCATTAGCATCGGGAAATGTCCGACAAGAACAATGTGAACAATGACAAGGATGACTATAACAAATGCAGTGCTTTGGTGAAAATCAGAAAAGTTATTATGTTTTTGCTCCTTGCAGAAGAGTCTTATTACTTCAACAGTGTTCACTTTCCTTTCTTCCTCTCTCTCCCCCCTCTCCCTTTCTCTCGCTCTCTCTCTCCCTCTTTTCTATGTAATTTTTTGCTCACCATTGAATAATACTCTTGGTGTTGCTTCCTCATTTCATTAACAAACAAATAATTCTAACTACGGTTATTCTGGTCACTTTTTTCTTTCTTCATCTTTCATTTCATTCAAAGGAAATTTTTCCCCCGTCCATGCACACGCTCACGCTCACGCTCACGCTCACGCTCACGCTCACGCTCACGCTCACGCTCACGCTCACGCAAAAGTTTGGACGGATGGAAGGAAACAAGTCATGAAACTCACTTGATTTTTCTGCATCGAACACACAAATGTCCAACACTTCTAACTATGTCGGGCTGGTTATAATTTAAGGTTGATAAACACGAAAGACAAACCAACAAAGTGTGACAAACGTAAAATGGTGACGATGGAACCGATTGACGTAGGCGAATCAACGTGATGTTGATGGAAAGTCAGTTTGCAAATTGTTGCAACGAGATAACTTCATTTTCATTTATTAGATATCGTTTTTTTTTTCTACTCAACCGCATCGTGGTCGATGTTCGTAATGTAACACAAGTGAGAAACTACTGCTGGAATAGATTAAACAGTATCTGCTACATTTCCATCAGTCATCTTCTTCTCTTTTTTTCTGCTCCATTTTTTTTAGCTCGTCGAAATGGCTTTTCCTTCTTCGTTTTTTGCGTGCCTTCGAACTCGAAATTGGAAAAATGACATTGGCACTGCCAGCCAAGAAGAAAGTTTCCATTCGGTAAAGCTGAACGAATATGACGGCGAATGAGTGAGCGAGCGAGGGAATGTGAGGAAGAGAGAAATGAATGAGAGTGATATCGGTGGGGCCGTGCATTTTTGTGTGATACGAGTGGTATGGAGCGGGGTTTAAATTTGATTCTATTAAAAAGTGCTCGTTAATTTTGCAGCATTGGCGTATTCGCACCAACAACCGACACACAAATATCAAAAGAACATTGTAAGACTTATCGTCCAACATTCAAACGACTTACATTATGCAAGCGCATATTTCAACGATGAATTTATTCGCAATGTGCCCGCGTATGTATGTATGTATGTGTGTGCGCTGGTGCGGCTCTTTATTTTATTCAGTTTTATCATATCGGGTGAGTATGATTTCAGATTGGACGCAAGAGTGGGTGAGACAGGGGGGAGTTGTTTGGAGAAAACCGCTTGGACTCGACATCATTGGCAATGGAATTCTTCAGCGAAAGCATTGGTGCATCTAACCTAATCGTTCGCCGTTCGCCAAATGACAAGAGTTAGGTGAAACGCGAACAGAAAATAAGAGCAAGTGAAACGAACGCCAATGAACACTTGGCGACGACATAAAACAGAAACTTTTGAATTGCAAAAGTCTAAGTTAATCAAGTTACGTGTTGATTGCATGTTTTTTCTCTCTCTCTCTCTCGCTTTCTCTCTCTATTCTTTTCCATCGCTGCATTATATTTTGCTTGGAATGAAATGTGTGCACAACTCCCTTTTTTCCCCGGCTCCGTGCGGTGGAAGACCAGCAATCATATCTGGGTGTGAGTTTGTTTCTTACACTGATTCCACAGATTTGCCTTCCTTTTTTCTCTCCGTTGACTCTTCGAATGCCTTTATTGTTGCGCGTTCATTCAACGCATCGCGTGCAAGAGCCACAGCAGCCGCTTAACACAAACTTTGCACACTTTGAATGCCAGTAACAGGCAAGCGGCTAATGTGCGTGCATTTGATTCACGCTACCTCACACGTACGTTATTACACCAAATTATGTGTCTTAATTTCATTTCAATAATTTCGTTGTGTTCGTTGTATTCTTCACATTTCTCCCTATCGCTCATACTCTCCGCACTGTCATTGGTTTTAGCTTATTTAATGACCATAATAATGAAAGATTTTGTCGGTGAATTTTATTTTTTTTTCCCCAAATTACCACTTTTATTTCTTGCATTTGAAATGCGTGGAAAACGAAATCACTGTCCATTACTCACTGCTGTGGCATGTACGCATTTTTCTACGTCTCTTTTTTTGCTTGCAAAATGTAAATCTTCAGCTAATCCGTCTCTTTAAATATTTCATCCGTAATTCAGCAAATGACCTCGAGAATTTCTTGTTTTATAGCAGGTTATTTTCACTAAAGCCTTTATAATACTTAATCATATGATAATATCCATTGCATGACAAACACGGATCCAACTTGAAAAACGGTAGTGAAAACATTTACATGTTGACCGTTTCCGTTTGGCTGTTAGAAACTGAAGCGAAAAGTTGAGCGCTTATTTAGTGAAAACAAATCGTCAGTTCATTTTGTGCGTTTGTGTGAGCGCACACGCGTTAGTGTGCCTGTATTTTGAGCAAAATGCGAAGAGGGAAAAATAAAAATCGCACGCAAAAACGCAAAACAAACTAATTTATTTGCCATATTGTTGTTGGGAATGGAAGAGAGGACGGAGGCCAAAAAACCAATTGTTTATTCTGAACGGTGCCTTAAGTTATGGCCTTTGAAACAGAATACCGACCGTCTCCCTCTGTGCAAGTGTGTCAGCGAGAGTGAGAGTGACGTGTTTGGAGAGAGAGAGAGAGAGAGAGAGAATGAGCGAGCGAGAGAGTGTGCTGAGACTGCACATATGCAGTATTAAGCAATGGCCTTTGGGCGATAAACAATGCGACGACAAAAGGGGAATGTACGAGAGACAATATCGATGCGAATAACAAACTGTCGAATGTTACCGCTTTCAATGTACGCTGATTCCTATTATTTAAGTGAATTCATTTGTAAACATGCGTTTCGTCTGTCGACCACACGAGATCAAGACTGAAAAATAAACTAAACCAAAACAAAGAAAACGAAACTGCTGGTTTCGATGCACAGAGCGCAAACACTATACAATCTTTGCAACCATCGAGTAAACTAAAAACATCCGAATTAATAGCATATGGATTGATTATGGGCGAATGCATCAAAATACCGCACATGCAATGCGTCCAACGAACGGATACGCTAACATTCCATTCGCGAAACCGAACGATACTGCGAAACAGCACGAGTATCGGAGGTAATTTTATGGCTTTTGTAAAACGTTTATTCTCAATGGAATGCACTTTTGTTGCAACAAAGAAATGTGGAACGAATCGTTTGATGATTGGTTTGGTCTAGAAATCTGTCTATAGCGTAATTTCAATTTTAAATTAATTTCTGCTCGAGTATATTGGGAAATGTGGATGGAAAAAGGAACGAGTAGATGATGAGAGAACGCGGGAGATATTTACAATCACAGTGTACGTTTTCTTCGTGCACCAAACGAAATAATGTGTTTAGACCGCATTGTGGCTGAGTTTTTCTAGTTCACTTTACCCCAACGGTACCCATAACAAAGGCCAATCTGTGCATGTTAATTGTGATTCGAAAAGATAATCAAAATAGC